AACTTCAATGGTTATAAACCATCGAAATCGGGAAATTTTGTGGGGGGAACAAGATTGACGTGTGTTCTTACTCCTGTGCAACTGATCCTAAGTGTGTACCATCTACATCATCGTCTGACAGAGAAAGATATGAAATGACAAGCCACAAGATCAAACTCAATTGGATATAAAATTAAACTCGGTTAGTTGAAAGAGTATTTCACGGTCACTCTGCGAGATTTTAAAATCCATTTCGGAATGAAATTTTATTTTGTTGTCTATCTGATCCACTTGTCATTTCATCTTTTTCGTGTCTTTTGGAARTCTTGCATCACCTCGCACAAAAACCAACGCGAAGTTCGTTGAAAAATGAAATTTGAAGACTGTTTGGCAAAAATTTATTTGAGATGGAAAAAAACTATCTTTAAATATCAAAAATGCTTTTTCAATGCGAGGTGGTGCAGTGGTTTTTTTTTTACGGGTTTTCTGTCAACTGTTGTCGCAAATTTTTGCAATCAAAAACTTTAGAAGGGAAACCTTTTTAAAATTTTTCTCAAAAAAGTTTTAAGGGGAAACGCTGTGCAAATTTTTCAAATTTTCGCGCCAAAAGTCTTAGTTTTTAAACGCGAACTTTTTCCTTCTCACGTTTCAATTTAATATTATTGATTTTCAAGTAATTAATTAGTTACTTAATGCCAAACAATAAAGTAAATCAAAACAGCAAGTGGTGGTTTTTATTGTGTACATTACTTAATCATATTTGTTAAAAAATACTTAAGACAAAGAAAAAATACTACAGCAGATAGAAATCAATTACACACGTGTCTTCAATATAACTTTTATTGGCTTTCTAATAATTCAATTGAAAGTCATTACAATTTGAATAAGTGGACAGAATAAAAAAAAATTGCGCTTTTAAAAGGGCCTGGAAACCAGTCGAAATGTAGGCTATCTCTTTTACTATTTTTTGACTATGTAGGGTCGCCAAAAAGAAAAAAAATTCTGCGCTTTTGAACAGAGTCTAGCCAGAAATCAAGCATATACTTTGACTTTTGATGGGAAAAATCTTACATCGTGCAAGATTTTTCCCCCCCAAAAGACTCTGTATATGTTTGACTCAAAACCAGACCCCAGTTAAAATTGCAGACTTTTTTTCTAAGGACATTTTTCGAACTAAAAGACATAGTTTCTTTTCGATTTTTTTCTTGGCCCCTTTAAAAGCGCAACCTTTTCATCAATTCAATGTGTCCTCGTAAAACTAGAAAGATTTCAGTAAATATGTGAAATAGATACGAGACAATCACAAAAGTAATTTCAACGAGTTTAATAACTAGCCTTCCAGGCTGAAAATTCTGGTTGCAAAAACAAATCCAAGTAGTACTAATTTTCTACCTTAATTTTAAAGCTCTAAACTTGAGGAATTCACCGCTTCCTCGGTAACTAGCAAGATACGAGACAATTTGGTAGATACTGCACAATTTGAAAGTAATTGCAATGTCGTCTTTTGACCCCTGAATTTTGTGTTGTGAAATCACTAATACGAGCTCCGCCCTAACAATATTTCCCAAGAAACTCCATCAAGATAAACTTTGTCTTGTAAATCTACCTTACTCTTAAAACGTGATCCACTGAAGAAACATCTAAACGAAGTCCTTAGCTTTCCTTTGCTTCTTTCTCCATGTCTGCATGTACACTTGAGACGGCAGCCTGAAAGAAGGATAAATAAAACGTTCAATTAACAATGGGTATACTGAAACCCACAGAACAAAATACACATACAGTGTATACTCGACTAAAGTTTACAAGTTAATTCTCTTATCGGGAATACGCTTGCCGTTTGGTTATATCTTCATCATAGAAATACACGGAGTTTACATAATTAAATGATATTAAGAACAACGTAAAACGCGGACAAGCAGCAACACGAAATACATAGCACCGGCTAAAATATAGCACTCTAAAATTAACTTCCATTTGCAACGTTTGCAGGCGAAAAGCTCACCGGCAAAATAGCACACTAAAAATGTTCACGGCAAAAATGTTCGCGACAAAACGGGCAATATTTGCATTTTCTTCCTGAGTGGTTAATAGTCGCCAATCTTTGAATAACTCGTGAACTTTTTTCAAATAAAAAGCTCTCGGATAGCTTTTCATTTTTACAGTATTAATATAAAAGTTATGGACGCTTGTCACTTATTCAACCAGATACAAACAAAACTAGAAATATTTACACAAGTGAATAACAAGAAAAAGTTGCTCTAAAATTCAACCTGTTATTCAAATGCAATACTTATGCAAACATGCAAAAACAGTTTTCTAAGAAGTGCGTGCCAAAAAGTTAGTGATTTTACAATAGATTTTCCAGTAATTTACAGGTAATTATGGTTAGTTATGGTTAGTTCAATTTTCTGGACACATGCAGTACTCTCATGTAGCAATGTTATAATAATGCTCCACAAGATGGTCCTAACTTTAAAATCTATGGATAATATCCCTATCTTTGTTCACTCAAATCGAATCTATGCGCTATTTTCATTTACTTTGTATAGCAAAATAAAAATTACATGTAGGTACACATTTATTTTGGCACTCTTAAAGCGATAAAGAACATGATCTATTTCTTCAAGAACTTCAGGGCTAAATTTCCGGGCTGTCCGGCGTTTTTTGCTGTAAATCATTTGGATGGAGACACTGTGAGAGTAACATGTCATGTCCAAGAGCACAAATTAATGCAGTGCAAATTATAGCTGAACTGTGAAACAACAACATCTCTACCATAAATCCTCGAAAAAGCACCCCCTTTGAATAAGTGCCCCTCCTATCGGCCATAATTTAAAATAAGCACCTCCCCTTGAATAAGCGCTCCCCTTCCCTCCCCCTGTTTTATGGAAGAGTACTGAGACAACAAAGGATGTATTGTGTCGCTCATGTTCAAAGCAAGTGATATCAACTCATTCAAGCACTGTACATTTGACTGTGGATGGTAGTGAAAGTCTGCTAATTCATTGCTTAAAGCCCTGCTAACCTGGTGCAGCAGGCCTAGACCAGCTAAAGGGGTTATAATACGTAGTTCTTCAAGAGAGACAGGATTCTACCGAGACTTCTGAGTGTCTGAAACATACATACAGTACACAAACACTGATCATATGTTACCACGATTTGGGAAAAATTAAATAAGTGCCTCCCTTGAATTAGCCTCTCCTTAGAATATCAATAAGCGCTCCTCATCTTCTTCTAAATTTGAAATAAATTTGAGGATTTAGGGTGTCATTTTAATCTTCTGCTGCATTGTGTGCCATTATTCCTCCAGGGTAAAATCGAGTTAATGATAGCCTCTCCAACCAGACACAAAGAAACACAGACTCACCTGATATGTAATCCATTGCCTCAATATGAATCTTTCTCCTCAGCACACAGTTTTCTGGTTTGCATCTAGCAAGAAATGGGGACTGTTTCAACATTTATGCCAGCCTTGATCTCTCAAGTTTAACAGACTACACAATTAAAAAAAAACACTCATCGGATTTAGTTTTAACCCAACTAGGGTGAGTTTGGACTATGAAGGTACGGTTAAGTCTGCATCAGGCCAAGTAATCTAAACCACCACAGTTTGACCCAGTCTCTGCTGCATTAAGAGATCTTGAGTAGTTCTGCTCCCCCATGGATGGGATGTGAGTCTGTCTGTTTCACAGAACTACACACTTAAGAAATATCAACAAGAATTTTAAGAGTTTTAACCCTTCAAATGCAAGGTTTGATAATGATGGGATACGACTGCTACAGGGTTAGCACCCAGTATTAAATTTACCCAGTACCTGTTTGTACACCAAGGTAGAAAGAGGCATTGTGAGAGCAAAGTGTCTTGTCCCAGAATGCAATGCAGAGAACATAACCATTGGCTCAAACCCAGACTTCTTGATCTGTAGCCTTATTTGGTATCTTACATGTATGTCTCAAAGCAATTTTTTTCNGGTTTGATAATGATGGGATACGACTGCAACAGGGTTAGCACCCAGTATTAAATTTACCCAGTACCCGTTTGTACACCAAGGTAGAAAGAGGCATTGTGAGAGCAAAGTGTCTTGTCCCAGGATGCAATGCAGAGAACATAACCATTGGTTCAAACCCAGACTTCTTGATCTGTAGCCTTATTTGGTATCTTACATGTATGTCTCAAAGCAATTTTTTTCCATCTTTCTTTCTGCACATAGACTTAAATGTTGCTTCTCTGTTTTCTATCTAGTAAGAAACAGGAAAGGTTTAAAAGGCATTCACGTCTTGTGAGCACTGGAAAAACTTCAAATATGAGACAAGAGGCTAGTCTCAGGATGAATGGTAGAACAACTGGACAGGGCAAACTTTATTTATGGCATGCAGATAGGAACAACAACCCAAAAGAATCTGCCATTAATTTGCCATTATTAAATTTGCTTGTTTAAAGTCTTGAGTAACATTGTTGACCTTCAATATTAATTTGAAGTGGTTTTGTGGAATATCATGATCGAAGGAACTACCATTTTGCAAAGTCCATCAGCAAAGAAAACAAGGAAGGCATCACAGGATATTACTAACACAGGCAAACAATTTGGATTGAAGTCCAGACAAAACAGATATTTGCAAATTTTGGTATGATGTGATGTGTGCTTTAACATTTATTCCAAAGAACATCTTTTAAATATAAAAGTAAAGATTTTAAGGAAAACGACCAATTTTTTAAGTTTGCAGGACATGTTTCGACAGAGCTTCTGTCATCTTCAGTTGAATGAATGATTACAAAGCAAGTTGAATAATAAGT